GTGCACAAACACACCCCCCCACCGCGAACCCACAGTCCCCCACCCGTGTACACACACACAGAGCCCCTCTCCCCGCAGCCGCGCCCCCCAACTCCCCACCCGTGCCCCCCTCCAGTGTCCCCCCAGCCGCTCACCCCCCCTCTGCCGTCCGCTCCCTTCCCCTCGGGCAGGACCCCCTTACCTGGCTGCGGGACCGGTTCTGCGTGGGGCGGCTCCGGGGGGCTCGGCCGGGGACTGCCGGGCCGGGACATCGGTGCGGGCTCGGTGTGGGCTCAGTGCGGGCTCAGTTCGGACTCAGTTCGGGCTCAGTTTGGGCTCAGTTCGGGCTCAGTTGGGGCTCAGAGCGGGGCAGCCCCGCGCCCGTCCCGCCGCTCACCTGGGGCCCCGCGGGGCACCGCGCCCGCCCCCGCCCCCGCCCCGCATCCCCCGGCCCCGCCGCCCCGGCGATGGGCCGGCCGGGGAGCGGGGCTGCCTCTGGGCTGGGCTTATGCCTTTTTTTTTTCCTTTTCTAATTCCTTAAAAAAAAAATAAAATTAAACAAAGAAAGCAACAACAACAAAAAAAGCTGGGAGCGCAAACACGCGGCCGCCCGCGCCCGCAGCGCTCCGGGAGCTTCTGCTGGAGCCTGGAGCGGAGCAGGGAGGGGAGAGGCGCGGGGCAGGCGGAGGTGGTGACTCCCGGGGCCAGCCTTGGATTTGGGATTTCACAGCTGTGCTGCGCTCTCGGCTCAGGGCTGGGTCACCCCAAAAGCTGCGGGGGGAGCAATGGGGCTTAGCTGTGCTCGGGCCCCTCGGGTGGGTGTTGGGACCCTTTGGGAGGGTGCTCGAGTCCCTCGGGTGGGTGCCCCTGCCTGTTTGCCTTCCCCCAGGCAGGAAAGCAAAGAGGGAACTTCTGTGCCTGACTCCATGGCGTGTCCAGTGAACTCCTCTGCCTCCCCCACCCCTCCCTGCCTCAGTTTCCCCAACTGGAAAATGGGGTTCGTCTCCTCGGGGCGATGCCTGGAGCAGCTGGGGCCGGAGGTGACGGCGTTGCTGCCCTCAGCCCAGCGTGACACCCATGTTCAAGCAGCATGTTCAGCACATCCCGAGAGGGCCAACCCAGAGTTCAGTGCTTGCTCCGGCACCGTGTCCCTGCAGGGCCCCACGAGGATTCGTCCCCGTGCTGAGCGTCATGTAGGACCCGGTGGGACGTTTGCAAAGTTGTTTTTTTATCCCACTGCTGTGTTTTCCTGTGTTTAAAAGCCCAGACTTGCAAAGCACAACACAGAGAGGCTGGATGGCCGTGGGCTGGGCTGGAGCCTGGAGTGTGATCCTGGAGCTGGACCAGCCAGGAGCGCTGCCCTCCCTGCCCTGCCAGCCCTGCCCTCAGCCACCCCTTCCCGGACACGCTGGAGTCGGGGCAGTAACTGGAGTTTGCAATCCAGAGCTGCGGCTCCAGGTGCCCAGAGCAGGGCTGAACCCAGGGGACAGCCCTGGGGACTCCTCACATCCCACTTCCCTCGTGCCCAGTGACGCCCCAGCCCTGCTGCCATCGGGGCTGTCACCAGCGCTCTGGTGCAGCATTTGGAGGGCTGGGGGATAAGGGAGACGTCACCGCTGCGGCCACATGGAAAGGAAATGGGTCAGGAAGTGGGAACGGGGCAGCCTGGGGCACGAAGCGGGACTGGAGGGATCTGACTGCTCAGGAACTTCCCAAAAGCTCCATCCTGAAGGCAGAGAGCATTCTCTGAGCGTGGTTGGCACTGAGGGTGAAGCATCGAGTGACACTGTGACCCCCATCCCTGGTAAAACCACCCGAGCACAGTTCATCCCACTGGGATCGGGGCTGGATCCCTCCCCTCACCTGGTACTGCTCCCAGCAGGACCCTGCCAGCTTTCCACGGCGTTCACTGCGGCCCTGGCTGTGCTGGTGATGGCGAGCAGGGCCGTGGGGTGAGCTGAGGCAGTGGCTGAGTCACGCCGGGATCACGCTGGGACCGCCCCAGCCCCACGCGCTGCCGTGGCACATTCCTCCCTGTTTACCTGCCCAGACACCCCGGGCTGGCCCTGCCGGGGCAGAGCCACCCTCGCTCCTCCAGCAGCCCCGAGGGATGGGCCCCACCGGACAGGGGTGTCTGCGAGACAAGGGGCTGCCTGGAGCTGGGGGGAGGCAGGGGGTGGCTGCCCAGCCTGGGGGTGCTCCACCTGGGGAAGGACAGAACTGGGAATGCACGTGCCATGTGCTCAGCTCGGGCCATGGGGATGGGGCTGGGTGGGGATTAGCAACCCTCCTCCTCTGCACTGGCAGCTCCACCTGATAACCCAGAAACAAACTGAGGAGTAGCTGTGAAGCTGAGTCACAACTTTGGTGGTCCAGGATCAACCCCCTGTGAGGCCTGGCTTTGGGAACAGGGCTCCCCAGGCTGGCAGACCCTGGCACAGTGGGAGCTGTGCCATGCAAGGAAGTTCTTCACAAGGATTTTGTGGCCACAGAGCATCAGGACTTTACCCACAGCAACACAGGGGCCATGGGGCTGCCTTCCCCTTGGGCCATCCTGCTGAGCCTCCTGTACCCAAGTGGGGACACCCCAGTCCCAGTGGTGTAGCACCACTCCCCCTCCCAGTGATGGGATCACAGGGAAGCCAAGAGGAGGATCCAACCTTGCAAAACTAGTCTGCACCCTCCTTTCACTCACCACCCATCCTGGCACGGCATGATGATGCCAACAGCTTTCTGCTGCCATAATCCCAAGGAGTGTTTTCCACAACACCCTTTTTTTCCCCTCAAAGTATTGTCCCCTCTAAAGACAACTCCTCCTGAGCAGCTTGAGCAGGGGGCTGGGGGTGGGTGGGAGAGGGGCTGGGGGCACCCTGCAGTGTCCAACTTAATCCCATAGTGATTACACCCAGACTAATCCTGGGCTACACCCAGGACGGCTGCACTCCGAGGAGCGC